ACACGAAATGGAAAAAAAAATAAGGAAAGGCAGGAAGAACGTGCCTTTAAAGTGCAGAACTTTCCCTGCATCGGCTCAAGGAACACAAAGCAGCTTCCAGATGAATTGTAAATAAGGAATTGACAGGAGTCTCATCATTAAGAGGGTAATTAGAAGAAGCCTTGATGTTTCTGTTGCTGCTCTTCCACTCAGGGATACTGGCTCTGAATTCCCTCTCCAGGCTCCGGTCTGGCACCCATTTTGTGTTTAAACTTCTCAGGAAACCAGCTGAGGGGCCACCAGACCACAGCAGTGCCGTGGAAGAACCTCCTGCACACCTGATGCCCAGGTCGTGTTGGAAGTTCCAACACTTCAAACCCACCCTGGCTTTTCTCAGGCAATTGGCTCTTCCAGAGCATAAATAAGTTGTTTAATGTGTGGTCTGCATTCCCACATCCAGCAATCCACAGGTACTTCCAAGAAGCCCACAGAAGGCAGCAAGACTACCAGGGGGGTTTAAAGTGCAGGGAAGGCTGTTTTTCTGCTGAAAATAAATAAATATATGTGTACAAGAGAGGCACAGGGAGGCTGAGAGCCGGGGGGGTTAAATCAGGGGGAGCAGAGAGTTCCCACCGGGCATTTCATCCCTGCAGAAGCCTCCTGGAGGAGCAGCTCCTGCCCTCTCTGCTCAGGGCAGACACGTTCCCGCTGGTCACCACCCAGTGAACTTTGCCTGCCGAGAGAAACTGACGTTTGACTGCGCTCCTTTCGCAACAGCCGTTTCCGGAGCATCCACTCCTGGCAGCGCCCGGCGTACCCAGGGAGGGAAAAAAACAAAAAAAGAAAAACCCAACCCAAGCTGTCTGGCCAAGGAGCTGGAGGAGTTCAAGAATGCTTGTTGGACACTGTTTTGAATTTCCAGTCAGAGAAAGGCTTTCTTGGAAAGTTGTAGGATAGAACTTGTGGACCCGGGCGGGCTTTGCAGGAGGTGTTAATAATAAAATCTGCTGCCCCAAATTGTTCCCCACGGTGGGTTTTTTTGCTTTATTTCAAGCAAAGCTGAACCTACAACACGCCAGAACTACCACTACAGAGGCACCTTTCTTGATTTTCTTTTCCTTTTTTTTTTTTAAAGGAAGGGGCTGGAGGGGTGTTTCCTGCTCTGTTTGCTGACACACAGAGGTTCAGACTCCCCAGCCCTGCAGAAATTCGGATGTTCTCCCAGCCTTCCCCGAAATAAGCAGCTGTTAAATCCGTGGTACAAAGCACAACAGCGAGGGCAGCCCCCGGCACGCCGAGCGTGCATCATGGCTGCTCCAGCAGCAAACAATTCCCAGGGTGATTCCCCGCTCCCTGCACCTCGCTCCACGAGCTCAACTCCCTCAAATCCAGGCTGAGCTCACACCTTGCACTGAATAAAACCATTCAGCACACGCTGAGCGGAAACAATAGTCACTCACAGAGGCCAAAATCAAAGGCACCGGGAGTCGCCGAGTTTCCAGGGGGTTTGTGCGCTCAAGTGGCCCTTTCCTGTTTATTAATTATGATTTTTTTTTTTAATAAACACCGCCTCTCACCTAAGTGAGAGCCTGAGAGCAGCCGTGCCGTGAGTCTCACCTGATCCTGCTCTGCCATTTATCACAGAGGAACTGAACCCCCTTTCCTCAGGCTGGGTTTTACCTGAGGTTACACCAAAGCACAGCCCTTCTCCCCCCACCTAAAACACATTTCCATTCCCAAATTCCTGGGACTCGCAGGCAAACCCTCCTCACCTGCTGCCCAGGTGAGGTTTAAAGCCATTTCTCCGTGGCTCTGACAAGTCCAGATCTGCACACACACACACACACACACACACAGTTATTACCCTCTGACAGTCGGCTGGGAATGCAGAACCCGAATAGTGAGAGGGTTGGGGAGGGGAAAAATCTTCCAGCGTGGAGCCTGTCGGAACAGGCACCCGAGTTACACAACAGCGATCGCCCCGACAGCCACGGAGCTGGACCGTGCTGGGAAGCCCTGCACACCCCAGTCCACGGCCACCAGCCCACCCTCTGCCCCCCTGAGGGATGCTCAGAGATCCTTCAGGCCCTTCCTCTGGAGAAAAGGGATGAGCTCATCCCAATCCTGGAGCCGAGGCCCCTCACCCTTCCAAAACCCGGAGCAGAGACCCCTCGCTCCTCCCAAACACCGTGCTGACCCTGCCAGGTGAAGGAAAGGGATCAGCACGACCGACACAAAGAGTCTTCCCTCCCTCCAAACAAATATTTACAGTGGTTCCACTCCAGAGGCTCAGGCCTTGGAGAGGTTTCCTTAAAACCCCAAACCGCAGGTTCCAAGGGGCTGGAAGTTACGGGCACACCGTGATCTCCAGGGTGGGGTGGGCGGGGGGCCACCAAAGCCCACCCCAGGATGGGCCACAGGACGACGGGAAGAGGTGACAAACTCCACAGGCTCCACAAAAACACGGTGGTGCTTCCCACCTTGGGCTGACCCCGCTCCTCAGCCCCAAAACACCTCTGAGCCCCCCCCTGCCAGGAGCTCCCCCAGTCCATCCTCACTCTGGGAGAAGCCCATAAATCCCCCCATAAAGCCAGGCTGGAGGATCCCAGATCTCTTCCCAGGAGGAGCGTGGGCCTTGGCAGCATCCCCCGGCACCTCAGGACCCCCTGGGCACTGGGAGCTGACCCCCAGCCCCAATTGCTGCTGCCCCCTCAGACATCTCAGTGGGGGAGAGGGACACCCCCCACAACCAGCTCCAGCATCCTCTTCGCACCACACACCCCTGTGAGCCCCTGAGGCCCCCCAGGCAGGCTCGACACCCCCCAGAACCCTTGCACGAGGTCCTTGATGCCTCCAGAGCCCCCTCCAACCTCCCAGGAGCCCCCACCCCATGGATCCCCCTCCCCAAATCCTTCTCCCCACCCTGAAACACCCACTCCTGTGTCCCCCCCGCCCCCAAACCCCTCAGTGCCTCCTCAGAGCCTCAGGGGCACCTCCAGCCCCCCAGCCCTCTCACCCCCACCCTGTAGGACCCCCATTCTATGGATCCCCCTCCCCAATTCCTTCTCCTCACCCTGATACACCCACCTGTGCCGCCCCCAAGCCCTCAGGGCCTCCTCACGATCTCGGGGGCACCTCCAGCCCCCTCAATCCTCTCTCACCGCCCCCAAACCCTCCTAAAATCTCCCCCGGCCTCACCCCCTGCTCACCTGCCCCACAGCCCCCACCCAGCCCCAGGCCCGGCCAGGCCCCGGCCCCCGCGCTGCCCTCAGCCCCCGCATAGCCTCCCCCTGCTTCCCCCATTGCCCCCCGCTCCCCTCGCGAACCCCCGCCCCGGTTCCCCTCCCGGCGGGGGCGGGGGCGCCGCCATGTTGTGCCCGGTGCGGGCCGGGCCGGCGCCGCCGCTCACTCACCGCGGGCCCCGCCGAGCGGGCCGGCCAGGAGCAGCAGCAGGGCGAGCAGGGGGCGGCGGGCGGCGGCGGGGCCGGCGGGCGGCGGTCGGGGGCGGCGGGGAGCGGGGGCCCGGGCGGCCATGGCGGGCGAAGCGCCGCGGCCTCGGAGCGGAGCGGCCGCAGCGCCGGCGGGAGGGGAGCGCAGGGGACGGGCCGGCGGCGCGGGGGCGGGGCTGAGGGCGGGGCCAGACAGGGCGGGGCCGCGCGCGCGCCGCGGGGAGGGAGTGTGTGACGTGTGTGACATGTGTGTGACATGTGTGTGACATGTGTGTGACATGTGTGTGTGACACGTGTGTGTGACATGTGTGACGTGTGTGTGTGACGTGTGTGTGTGACATGTGTGTGTGACGGGTGTGACGTGTGTGTGACAGGTGTGATGTGTGACATGTGTGACAGTGTGTGACATGTGTGTGACATGTGTGTGACATGTGTGATGTGTGTGACATGTGTGTGACATGTGTGACATGTGTGTGTGACATGTGTGTGTGACGTGTGTGTGACGTGTGTGTGACATGTGTGTGTGACATGTGTGTGTGACGTGTGTGTGACATGTGTGTGACATGTGTGTGTGACAGGTGTGTGATGTGTGTGACGTGTGTGTGTGACATGTGTGTGACATGTGTGTGTGACGTGTGTGTGACGTGTGTGTGACATATGTGTGTGTGACATGTGTGTGTGTGACATGTGTGTGACATGTGTGACATGTGTGTGTGACATGTGTGTGACATGTGTGACGTGTGTGTGACATGTGTGACATGTGTGTGTGACATGTGTGTGTGACATGTGTGTGACATGTGTGTGACATGTGTGACGTGTGTGTGACATGTGTGAGTGACATGTGTGTGACATGTGTGTGACATGTGTGTGACATGTGTGATGTGTGTGACATGTGTGTGACATGTGTGTGACGTGTGTGTCAGACATGTGCTGTGTGCGTGTGACATGTGTGTGACATGTGTGTGACGTGTGTAACATGTGTGTGACACGTGTGTGACATGTGTGACGTGACATGTGTATGCTGTGTGTGATGTGTGTGACGTGTCTGATATATGTGATATGTGTGTGATGTGTTTATGCAGACACGTGTGTGCATGCAATCACGTGTGCTGTGTATGCGTGCATGGGCTGTGTGTGTACGAGCGTGATTTGCGGATGTTCAAGCGTGATTTCTGGGAGGGGGATCACATATGATGTGTGTACATACATGATGTGTGTGCAGGGCACCCTAAACCCTGGGCAGGGCACCCCAAACCCCACCCTGCCCAGCCCCACATGCCCTCACCCCCCACCCACAACCAGCAGCTGCCCATTCTGCCCAGTTCCTCCCAGTCCCTCACTGGGCTCAGACCAAGATGATTCCAAGGGAGCCCCCTGGAGCAGTCCCAGCCCCTCATGGGCACCGGGAAAGGGTTGGCACAAGGCTGGAGCCGGGTTTGTTGCGGGATCTGATGGATCTGTAGGATACTCGGAGGTGAAGCTGCGAATGGAGCCGGGCAGGAGCTCTGGTGCCCATCCTGCCTCGATGCCCAGTGCCCGGCACGGGAGGTTTGGCAGCTCTTAGGCGATAAAATAGCTTTACACTTTATTAAATATATTAAATCTTAATAATTAAATAGTTATGGAGCAAAGCTGGCCCTGCTGAGTGTCCCATCCCGGTCGTGTCTGAGCAGCCTGGAGCGCGGGGTGGATTTTGGGACGGCGGCAAGCGATGCGGGATGGGAACCGGAACACCTCGGGAAACACCAAAATGCTGGCAAAGACCCCAAAGGGCACTGCTTTGGGAAGGGGGTGCCGGCTGCCGGGCAGGGAAGGATCAGCCCACCACGGGACCCCCACCTGGGAAGGTCCCTGCGGCACACGGGACGCTCAGGCCGCGCTTGACGCCAGCAGCTCCTCACCCCAGGGAGCTCCACGATGTGCCAGGGTGCGGATCCGGCGTGACCAGGGCGATGTCTGGCCTTGCACCAACCATCCTTTCCCGGTGAAATCCATCCCTGTCCTTCGGCGAGAGGCGCGCCGGGCACTGCGGCCCTGCCGGGGAATTCCTGCCGCCTGCCGAGCCCGCGGCGTTCCCGCTGCCAGCGCCGGGCGGGCAGGTCTGGGCAGCTCCGGTGCCGGAACACCGGGACAGTGCTGGCGCTGGGTGGGTGCCCCACGGGCTCAGGGCGCAGCAGGGGATGGTCCTGTCCTCGGTGCCCCTCACCGTGGTGTCCAACTGGGGGGCTCAGGGTGTGCCACCAGCCCCAGGCACCCGCTGCCATCCCCGCCGGGCAGACGAGACGCGCCGGCGTCGGATGACGGATCCGGGGAGTATTTTTATAGCCGACTCGAAGATTCCTCCTATAGTTTGGTAGTGTGTCTTTTTTTTCCTATTTTTTTCCTCCTTGCAAATCCAAACGGCTCCAAGGAAGGGTGGGAGAGGCAGGGGCTGTGAGCAGAACCCCTCTGTGACCGGAGCCATCCCGACATTGGCCTCGCCGCAGTCCCCGGTGCAGCCCGTGAGTGGCCCCAGGGTGTTCCTGGCGCTCACTGCTCCGGCTTTGGCTTCTCCAGGGAATTGTTCAGCTTCTTCAGCGTCTTTTTAATGCGCAGGGCGGTGAGGCGGGCGGAGGGGCTCTGGTACCAGCACTCCTTCATGACCTTCGCCAGCGCCGACAGAACCTGGGGAGGCACAAAAAGAGGGATAAACGGAAGGGTTTAATGGGGGGCAAAGGTCTGGCTCAGGGTGGGAGGGGGCGGCCCCCCTGGGACTCACCGAGTCGGAGAAGAGGCGGTTGGGGATCACGGGGGTCTGCTGGTCCACACACACCACCTTCTTCATGTCCTCGAAGCTGGGGTCGCTGGGGACGGCGTCGAAGAAGGGTGGCCGATACTCCTCCACGATTCCTGTGGGAAGAGGGGCCGTGTGAGGCACGGGGGGACAGTGGGGATCACTCCCATCCTGTGCACTCTGCATCTAGCACGGCTGAGCTGCTCCCTGCCTCGGGGGGCACGGAGGGAATCACCAGTGGGATGTGCTGGTGCTGGTGCCCACAGAGAGCAGCACCAGCTCCAGTCTTGACACTAATCCAGCCCCACCATGAACACCAGCTCCGGCACCAGCTCCAGACCCTGGCACTGCCGCCCCCAGCACTCACCCCACAGCCAGCTGGCCCAGCTAATCTCCTCTTAGTGCCTCCATATGTCCGTGCCCCCGCAGGGTTTAATCTCTGTGGGATGCCCCAAGCCCTCACCAGCTCCCTGCACCCCGAGGCGCAGCCCCCAAAGCTCGGGGTCCCCTGGAGCCCCCCCATCCCTGATACCCTGAGGCCATCCTGGAGGGTGAAGGATTCTGGAAGGGTTAAACCCAGCCAGCTTCAGGCCGTCCCTGCACATGGCTGGGGTAATTCAGAGTAAATGTGTAATCTGAGGGAGCCCTGGGACCATAAATGAGATTATCCCGGCCAGACTGCGCCTGGGGGGACCTCCCTCCCCACCCGCCAGCGCCCACCATTTAATTAATGATTCTAATGGGCTTTGCCTGATGAGCAGTGCTGGCTGGGCAGCCTCGAGGAGGTTCCTCCCCGGCACGGCACGAGGGGACCCCATCCCTGTCCCCATTCCCGAGTTCCCAAGCCAAGCCCCGGTGGCCGGAGGTCCCGGCCGTGGCCGCTTTCCAGGCAGAGCTGGGAGCTGCTTGTTTTCTAATCAGCGCTGAACAAACAAAGCACTGATTGAGTCTAATGGGCCCTTTAATCAGGGAGCCGGGTGCTGACACTAGATTACAGTGTTTATAATTTACAGCTAATCTTCTGGGCGAAGGAAAGGGGGAAAAGGAAAAAAAAAAAAAGGCAACAAGAGAAGGAGGGAAGGATGGAGGGAACGTGGCGGGCAGCCGGGAGCGAGTGGAGCCGCTGGCTGGGACCCACTCACCGTTCACCACCGTGCGCCGGGTGATCTCCCAGAGCACCAGCCCGTAGGCCCAGATGTCCGTCTTCTTGTAGGACTCGAAGCAGTCGGTGCGGATCTGCTCGCTCAGCACCTCCGGGGCCATGTAGCGCTTGGTGCCCACACGGGGGTTGTTGCCGATGTCCAGGTAGTCGCTGCCCTGGGAGTGCATGACAGCCAGTCCTGAGGGGGAAGGAGGACAGAATCACAGTCATTGGGGTTGGGAAGGACCTTTAAGGTCTTCAAGTTTAACTACAAAAGGCCGGGACGTTGGCCTTGGGCAGGGCTGTGCTGGTGCTGTGTCCCAGGATGCTGCATATGTGGGGCAGAACATTCCTGAGGCAACACATCCCTGGGTACCACATCCCTGGGGTACCACATCCCTGGGCTCTCAAATCCCTGGGTACCACATCCCTGGGGTACCACATCCCTGGGTACCACATCCCTGGGTACCACATCCCTGGGTACCACATCCCTGGGGTACCACATCCCTGGGTACCACATCCCTGGGGTATCACATCCCTGGGTACCACATCCCTGGGGTACCACATCCCTGGGTACCACATCCCTGGGCTCTCAAATCCCTGGGTACCACATCCCTGGGCTTTCAAATCCCTGGGTACCACATCCCTGGGCTCCCAAATCCCTGGGTACCACATCCCTGGGTACCACATCCCTGGGCTCCCAAATCCCTGGGTGCCACGCCCCGCCCCTCCATCTCACCCAGGTCTGCGATGCAGCACTGCCGGTTGCTCTTCACCAGGATGTTCCTGCTCTTCAGGTCCCGGTGGGCGATGGCGGGCTTGCCCTGGGTGCCGAAGATCTCCACGTGGAGGTGGACGAGGCCGCAGATGATGGAGGAGGCCAGGCCCAGGCAGGTCTCCACGTCCAGGGCCGTCCTCTGCAGGAAGTCGTAGAGGGAGCCGTTCTCGTGGTAGTGGGTGATGAGCCACAGCTGGGTGCTGGAGTTCCTCGACGTCATGTCGGAGGCGATGAAGCCTGGGCAGGGAGAAGAGCTGGCACCGTGGAGCCCCCACGCAGCTGCCCCCTCGCCTGCCCAGCCCTGCCGGCCCCCCTGCTCACCCAGGATGTTGTCGTGGCGCAGCAGGACGGTGTTGTAGATCTCCGTCTCGCGGAACCACGACTGCTCGTCCCGGGAGGAGAAGATCTTCACAGCCACGCTCTCGCCATGCCACACGCCTCGCCACACCTCACCATAGCGCCCTTTGCCTGCCACGGCCACAACACCAGTCACCGCAGCCCTCAGACCCCCACACCCTCCCCACCCCCAGCACGAGGCTTCAGACCCCTCCTGGGTCTGATGTTGTGGTGGCACCGTCTGGGGGGGGCCCGGGGCAGCCTCCCCCCCTCCTTACCCACGCACTCCACGAGGGTGATCTGCCTGGCCACCGTTCTCTGCACCAGGAAGGGCAGCCCTGAACCGCTTCCCGTGGTGCAGTCATCGTTCAGCAGGTCCTGCACAGCCGGGGTGACCATGGGGTCAGCACAGAGGCCACCCCACCTTCCCACACCTCGGGGGGATTTGAGGGTCCCTCCCGGAGCTCACCCACCTCCAAGGTGCTGTCTCCCACCATGGATGCCTTCAGCATGAGGTCAGTGTCGCTGAGGTCACTCTGCTTGTGGCGCTGCTGGGCCACCTTCCAGCAGAAGAGCGCCGTGAGCGCCACGAGGACGAGGAGGGCGAGCAGTGGGACGAAGATCATCAGGAGGAGGTTGGGCAGGGAAGGCGCCTTTCCCAGGGCATCTTCTCCTGGGTGGGGGAAATGATGGATGGGAGCGTGATAACCGAGGTCTGGGGGCTCAGGCTTGGACCTGGGGAGGGTGGCTCTGCACCGGGTTCAACCCCACGGATGGCAGCTCTGCAGGCACAGCCCAAGAAGGGACGCCCGAGGACATCTCGCTGGCCCTGCCCCACCTGGGAAAAGGTGACTCTCGGGGGGCTGAGCGAGGGCAGGGATGATCTGCAGACCCAAGCACACCTCCAGCTGCGTGGGCAGCTCTGCCCCTCGCCCCTGTGGCCCCGTACCTTGCAGGAAGATCTCCAGCTCGGCGTTGCACATGCGGGACTCGCAGCACCTCATGCCGTACTGCTCCGTCACGGGCGTGTTGCAGTGCTCCAGGATGTTCTGGGAGAAGCAGCCCCGGTGCTGGGTGATGGTCCCCTCCTCCCTCCTCTTGCTGACGAAGCACACCTTGCCCGTGCAGGTGGGCTGGCTGCAGAAGGGCACGTCGCAGGCGCACAGCAGCTCGTCTGCGGGCACGAGGAGGGGGCACGTTGTGCCACTCGGACCACCCTGGACGGGGGCTGGTGGCTTTGGTGACAGGGACATTGTCCTAGAGACTCCCGAGCCAAATTTTGAGAGTGGGCAGCCTGGGACTGCCATGGTCCAGGAGGGGAAGGTGGCTGTGGGTGCTCAGTTCAGGGAGCCCATCCTGACCGCTCCTGGAAAATCGCTTGCTCCCAGCTGGGATCCAAGTGCCAGCCCTGAACCTGGGGGTGGCATCCAGCCCCAGCAGCTGGGATTAACTGGGATGCACTGGTTCACAGCACACAGGCACACCCTGCCCGTGGGGTCCCAGGGCTGTGGGAGCCGGATGCCGGGAGCCAGGATGGGATCAAAAGCCCCAGACTCAGCCAGCGCCTCCCCAGAGGGTGTTTCAGGCGCTGGGTGCTAATCCCGGCGTCTTTCCTGGAGCTCTTCCTGCCTTCCCCGAAGGCACTTCCCTGTGCTGTGGTGCCGGAGCAGCTCAGAGGGCGCCACGCTCCCCGGCGCCCGATTTAGCTCTGCCCTTTCGCGCAGAAAATATCCCTCCTGGAATCAGCGAGTTCAGCGTGAGGGCAGCCAGGCGGCCAGCGGCGAGGGGACAGCGAGGGGACAGCGAGGGGACAGTGAGGGGACAGGGAGGGGACAACGAGGAGATGTCTACCAGAGGCCAGTCCCCCTCCTGTGCCTGTCATCCCCCTGCCCCAAAGGCTGCCCGGTGTCAGTGCTGTGGGGTGGTGGCCAGGCCGGGTTGGGGTTGGTGGCCCCGTGGGCAGGATGGGGACTCGGTGGGGACTTGTCCCCTCAGTGAGCTCTGCTTGTTCCTCCCCGGCACAGCCACACTGTCCCCCTGAACAAACACAGCCAGCTGGACCTGTCCCCAGGTCACCTGGGGCTCCCCTGGGATGCTGAGCAGCTCCTCCTGCTCCTCACCATCATCATCATCACCATCATCACCATCATCACCATCATCACCACCCCTGGGAAGACACACTCTCCAAAGCACGTGGTGCTTTCCCAGCCTTCCCCATCTCCCCTCCGGTGATGGCAAAGCACTTGATCAACGGCAAATAATTAATGAAGCCGAGATCCTCCCTGGGGGGTGAGTCACGGTCCCGCAGGGGCCCAGCCCCTCGCTGGGGACGGCACCGTCCCCGAGGAGCCCCGGCTCCCTCTGCAGGAGGTTATTCCGGTCAGGGACGCTCCCGAAAAGCCGAGGGTTTATTTTAACCTGCCAATCACACCATCACGTTGGTACTCACCGGCTGCGAGGCCGAGGGACAGAGTCATCAGCGCCAGCACCGCGCGGCCACCGACCCCACACGGCATCGTCCTGCGGAGAGCGGAGTGGTGAGAGCGGTCCCTGCACCCCCGAGGGGCTCATCACCAGCCCCGGGGGCTTTGGGAAGGAAGAGGGGGGACTTGGAGAGGGAGAGGGCGGGCGGAGCGAGGTAGGATGTGTTGCTTCCAATGGAGTTTGGCTCCGGACGTCCTGGGTACAGCCCTTCCTGAGAGCACATCCCGGGACCTCCCGAGCTCGGGGGGCCTCCCGACCGTGGCATTGGACACCACAGATGGCACTGGCACTGGGACCTTGCCCTGCCCACGCTGCCCCAACATCCTTCTGCTACGCCAACAATCCGCATTCCAGCATTTCCCACCATTCCCGCAGCTCCTGCTCTGTAAAACCACGGCCCCCATGGGCTCGGCACCGATGGAGGTTGCAAGTCCAGCAGGGCCCAGGCCATGGGGTGGAGCTCAAAGCGCTCTCACCACGTGCACCGGAGCCTCCGAGTGCCGCTGGCCGCAATCCGGGGCTCGGTCCCGGCGGGGCTTTTGTACCCCGAGCTTATCAATGACACAAACAGGGGCAGCCAAAAATTCCCTGCTGTGCCTTGGGGGAAGTTTGGCTATTTTTTCTCTTCCTTTTTTTTTTTTATTTTTTTTTAACTTGTAAAAAGGGACATTTCTGCCAAGGCAAACACGGCGGAGCCCCCCACTGCCCCCCGCCCCGCTCCACGGCCGCGGGCTCCCGGCCCCTCCTCGGCTCATTCTTTGTGGTTCCCGACATAAACACGCCAAAGGCTCCGTTTCCTGCAATTGAAGAGCCCAGCCCAGCGCTGCCGGGACAGGAATCAAGATTGTTTAGATTCTGGCCTTGATGGGGCAGCGCAGTCACGCAAGCCCAGCCCTCGGGAGCGCGCTCAGACGCGGCTGACCCCGGCAGGCTCCGGCAGCGCCGTAAAACGGCCGGTTCCTCCCCAAAATAACTCTCTCACGGGGAGGAAACAGCGACCAGGTGCCAGGTCCTGGGGCTGGAGGGCAGGAGCTGGTCCCGGGTGCCCCGTGCCAGGAGTGATGCCGGGCAGATCCCCATCCAGATGCTCGGCTGGGCCAGGATCAGCTTTGTTTTGAAATCCCAACTCCCCTGGACCTGGGCTGGGATCAGCTTTATTTTAAAACCTCAAACCCCCCTCGGAGCTGGGCTGCAACTCCCTGAGTGCCCAGGGTGCTCCCAGGTGGTGAATTCCCTCTGTGGAGCCCTTTCCATTAAGTCCCCAGCTGTTAGATGGCTGTGGGGTGTTTGTTGTGAAACACAAAGTGGGCAGGGCCCAAACCTTTGCTGTATATGAAACATCACATGGATTGCCGGTGTTGCCAAGAGCAAACCTTAATCCAGAGTCATCCCTGGCATCCCACTGGAAAAACATCCTGAGTGCTTCCGTGACGGGTCGAATCAGAGCCTGCATCCCCATCCCTGTCCTCAACCTTCCTCAGCTGTCATCAGGAACTGCAGCTCAAGCACCCTCCTGGCATCCAGAGCACCTTTCCCCACCTGTGCCTGAAATCTTGAATCTGAAATCTTTCAGGACTTCAACAACAACCTCCTGGATGCTCAGCTCAGGGAGCTGCACAGGAGGGGCTGAGCTGCCCCAGTCTGGCTAAGGGAAGGCTGTGTGCCCACAGTAGGACAGAGCTCCACGGTGAGGCTCATCCCAGCTTGGCTTTGGAGACGGAGCCTCTTCAGCAGCCATTTGGCTCTCCCTCCCCCTCCCCTCCTCAGAGGGACCCGGAGTTTGGCTGTGCCAAAGGGGAACGTGGAGGTGGCACATCCTGCAGCGTCGCTGCCGTCCGTGCCTGCAGCCCTCGCTCCAGCCCCTGGCTGGAACTGCTGTCAACTCTCCCTCATTTTTCCCCGTGGCTTTTCAAAGTACACCCAAATTCCCCATTTCCCATGTTGATTCCAGCCTTTCCGTTGCAGCTGCGTGTTACTTCAGCTCTCTAGCAAGAACATGGGGACGGATCCTGTCGCTACCACACTGGGGTGAACCCAGGTTCACACTCCCAGCCCCGAATTCCAGCTTCTCCAACCCCGACATCAACACCGGCGTCCCACCGAACGTGAAGGGAATGGGGGCAAATCCTGCTTTCAGCTGCCCCAGGGGTAAATCAGGAGGGAAATGCTGAGCTCAGTGCAGCCCCAGGCCCCACAGTGCTCCCCCACTCACCTACAGCATCCACGTCCCCACAGCACTGCCCGGCCCTGGTGAGGCTCTCCCGGTCGCGGTGCTGCTCTCAGAGCCGGGGCAGCTCCACTCCGTGCCCTGCACCCCGGCCTGGGGGAGCTTCATGGGTCTGTTCCCCTCCCGCTGCCCGGTCCGGCACCGAGGCAGCTCCTGTGGCCGCGGCCGTGCCCGCCCTGGTGGGGGAACGTCGCCGTTCCCGGCCCGGCCCCGGGGGCTCGGCAGCCCCCGTCGTCCGACGCGGCCGCTTGGCAGGAGCTCTGTGGTCTGGATGTGGGAGAAGTCAAAAAAATGTTTCTTATTACTGCCTCTTCCTGCCTGGCTTCTCTCCACCACTCCCAGCTAATAAAGCATTTCCTATTGCTGAGCACACAGCCACGACCAACCTCCCTTCCTCCCGCTCACCGGGCCCCAGCTCCATCCTGGTTGCTCTCCCTCTCCTGTTCCTACCGCCTTGTCCTTCACCAGGCCCTTTCCCACTTGGTTTCCCAGCTTTCAAAGCAAGCCCAGGCCCATGGTAGGGGCATGGCCATCACAGCTCCTACCCTGGGCATCCCCAGGTCGTTGGTAGGAGAGCAGCCAGTTGCTTTGATGGCGATGGGAATGTTCTAGAGGGACGCCGTGGGAATGACCTTGATGTGCTTGGCCATCCTTCCAGCTCCAGACTCCAGCCCCTCATGGGGACGGAGCATCACAGCCCCTCAAAGGGCTCCCTGGTTATTCCATGTTGGACACAACACTCTGGGGGAGGGCAGGGGAGGATTTCAAACCTGGGGTACAGCGTGGGGTCAGGGGGTGCTGCTGAATGGTGGCTCCACTGGGGATGCTGAGCCCGGCTGTGGGCACCGAGCCAGGCTGGCTGGGCCCAGGGGCTCGTGTTGGCACATCCTGGCTCTTCCCACACGATGCCACGGTGGCCGGGGCTGGGATGCCTCCGGCAGGGCCGTTCCCACGGCAGGAGGTTGGGCACTTCCCGCTCCCCCAGGGCACACGGGAAGCGCCGCTTCCCCTTTTGCTGCTTTCGGGGCTGTTCTTTGGGCCACCCCAATCTCAGCTGCTTTGCACTTCTCCCACCCTCTCCTCCCCCTCCAGCGCCTTCCCGAGCCCCATCCCTGCCTTTCTCCCAGCTGCTCCATGACTCCATCCAGCATTGCAGCCTCTTTCCTAACCAGGTGCCAGGGCCTGATTTACCACCCTGTTCCCATTGCATCACCAGCCCCAGTTGCATCACGAACCCACCCGGAGCCTCCTTGTGCCGGGGCTTTGAGTCTCGCCGGCCGCCTCGCCCTCCTATCGTCCATGATCTAGGAAGTTTAAACAAACAAAAGCACAAAACCAGGATAAAACACGAAGGACCTTCACGGGTGACCTTGCCCGTGCAGGGTCCGGAGCTCTGCGGAGCCGGCGCGGGGGAAACGGGCAGTTTCCATCAGATAGGAGCCGCCCCGGAGGAAGCCGGTGCCTGCAGACGCCTTATCTCCGTGACCATCTTTGCTCTGGTCTGCAGGTCTCTGTGATCCAGCTGGAGATCAGCCCCTCCCAGAGTTATTCCTGGATGGCTCCTGCATCCCCTCCATGGGAGCAGACACAGGGTGGGTATCAGAACCCCAAATTTGTGGTTGCTGGCAGGGGTTACCCCAGGCAGCCAAGCACATCAGGGGAGGGCTGATGCCAGCTGGTTTGATCCCCACAATTCTATCTTCCAAACAGGACATCATTTTTACATCATAACCAACACTGGGGGGATAAACACTTGCTTAAAAACTTCTAAAACTTCCTAAATCCTAATCCTGAGTGACTTGAAGGGCTGGGATGAGTGGGGAGCCCCAGGCCAGGCTGTTGCTCTGGCACTGCCGCTGTGGGAAAGTTCATTTCGCCCCAGTGGGACTGACTGTGATGGTACACGACAGACAAACCAAACCCGTGGCAGGCTCCTGCCCCTCTGCCAGCTCTGAGTGGGGCAGACAGGGTGAATCAGCAGGGCTGGGCACCACCCGACAGCGCCGTGACCCGACATCCCGCGCCGGCCGTGGCGCAACTCCCGCCACCCCCTCGGAGCCGGAGAGAGACTTTCCGTCCCCATCCGGGTGCTCATCCCTGCGATGCCATCCCGGGGGGGGCACAGACATCCCTGCACCAGGGCCAGACCCTTCATGGGGGGGTCCAGCCGCCCCTCGGGGTGTCCTTGAGCAGTTCCTGGGGTGGAAGAGGGGACGAGGGGCCCGGTGGGAGCCCGTCTGTCCCTTCCCCCTGCGCGGCGGGAGCCAGGCTGGCGCAGCGCGTGTGCCACCCGCCCCCGGCTCATCTGCCAGTCGCCGGGAACTGGTGAGGGAGGGCAGCCACGTGCCGGGGAGCCCGGCCGAGCCAAGGGCTGGAGGGGAACAGACGGGGAGGCTGCAGCTCCTTCCTTCCCCACCGCAATCCTTCCCTGCCTGCACCTCCCTGTGCCCCCCCGAAAGGCAAAGCTGCGGCCTCGAAGTGGGGGAGTGGCAAAGGGAGAGGGTCCCAACGCCTGGCTAAGGGGTTATTTATTACCTGGATAACCTGGGCTCTGAGCTCTTCAGTGCTGCCCATTGCCCTCCTGGGGTCACACCCTGGGTGCTGCAGGAGCCAACGCCCCAGTTTCACCTTCCTACAGCCTGGGATGGACTTAGGAGGAGCCTGAAATAGGGGAACACCAGATCCCAGCTGCTGCAGCACTGGGCTCTGTCCTGGATAATGGTGGGGCTTCCAAGGGCAGCTGGGAATGGAGCAGACGAGCACCCCAAGGCTGGTTTCCAACCTGGGCCTGTCACCCAGAGCTCCCCCACCCTCCACAGAGTGGAGCTGCTTCCCCTGGTGTGCCCATCCACAACCCAGGAGTGGGGAATGTCACCAAGGGGGTGTCAGGGTGGCCAACAGACTTTGGCAGCGAGGGGGAGCATTCCTGCCAGCCCCACAAGCAACCCTGAGCTTTATTTGTGGAATCAATCCTGTTAACATGGCAACCACTTCCATTTTAATTTGCTCAACCGCATTCCAACACACACTGCAGAATCAAGAGCTCAGGAAGATCAAAGAGCCAAAATAAAACCACAGCAAAAAAACAAAAAGGAAGAAAAGGGAGCAACTTGTGCCACAGTCCTGCTCCCTGGCAGTCCCAGAGCCCAGTCCAGGCTCTCAGCACTTCGGTGCCCAGCATGACCAGGGCTGGGCCAGGGTGGTCGCCCTCAAGGTAGAGCAGATGAAGGACCAGGCAGAGGGTGGGGGACCAGTGGGGACATCTCAGCTGGGTGTGTACACCCACATCACCCTCCTCCCCTGGGCATTCCTGTCCCACCAGGAAGGAAACCATCTCCATGCCAGAAAAACCAGCAGGTCCGAGGTGACAGCGGGGACCTCATCTCCACCCCGGCACCTCCCGTCTTAGCGTTTCTTTTTCTTTTTCCTCTTCTCCTTCTCCTTCTTCTCATCCTTCTTCTTCTTCTTCCCCTCGTTGTCCTCGGCCTCCTTGGCCGCTCTCTTCTCCTCCTTCAGCGCCTTGTACCTCCACTGGGGCGGCTTCAGAAGGTGCTTGTCCTTCACACGTGGCTTCCTCTCCCTGGCGTCGGGGTCCGGGGCGGAGGCCTTGCTCACTTTGATTTTGGGGAGGGGGCCGACGCTGTTCCCGCGCCGCAGCCACAGCGGCAGGAAGCGCAGGAAGCGGGCGCCCAGCTGGCGTGGCAGCGGCGGCGGCGGCACCTCCATCACGGCCTGGCCGTTGCAGGAGGACGAGGCGGTGCTGGGCCGCGAGGACACTCCCGAGTCGGCGTCCGGGTCCGGCACGTGCTGCCCGAGGATCTCGGGCACGGACAGCCTGCGCTTTCCCACCTCGGGCGGGCTGTCGGGGCAGACGGTTTGGCAGGCGGTGGCCACGAAGGGGCTGGCGAGGGACGTGGTCATCCTCACCATGTGGTCCATCACGCCGTCCTCCTCGGCGTTGTGAGGGAAGCTGAAGGTGAACATGGCGCTGATCTTCTCCAGCAGCCTCCTGCTCCTGGATTTGGGACTCAGGGCCCTGGCCACCAGCTCGGCCAGGGCCGGCCACTCGGGCCGGTACTGGGCTCCGAACTGCTCCGCCCGTGGGCGCCGCAGGAGGGTCCGGATCCGCACGGTGGTCTCGAAGCGGCCGGTGAACCTCGCCCATTCCTTGGCCGTCTTCCCCTTCACGGCATCCACCGCTTCCAGGTCAGCCCCTGGAGGCAGAGGGACCCCGTGAGGGTCACCCCACCCCGAGTGGCAGTGCCAACCCCCCCAAGGCCCCGGGGAGCCGCTCACCCGCCAGGAGCAGGGCGGTGACGCAGTCCTCCCGCCCCTGCACCGCTGCCTTCATCAGCGCCGTCAGCCCCCGCGGGTCCCGCTGGTCCACCTCGAGCGCGGGGTAGTAGTTGAGGAGGTAGTTGACGATGGTGATGTGTCCTTAACAGCCAGAGAGAAGCTGCGTTAGAGTTCCGACAGTTAATGGGGAACGGCGGCCGGTGCCTCTCGAGGGGAGGGGTTTAGCAGCTGCATCTCATGAGGATGAAGGTGCAGAAGCCTGGAGGGATCAGGGCTGAAAGGGGTTTGGGTTTATCTTGTTTTAGGTTTGGCACCAGCTGCCTCAGCAGAGAATGCAGGAGAGAGTCCAAAAAATGAAAAATCCTGATAAAATCATCAATTCCAGCAAGGATACAATGGGGTGAGCCCTGCCTTGGGACCCTCCTCCTTCCCCCTGTGGTTATTCACAGGGAGGGACCCAGACTAATGAGGAAAACCATCTGGAGGTTTGGTCCCTGTATGGACCTTGGAGCCTTTGGGGAGGTAAATCCCAGCAGCTTTTGGGGCTTTCCTGGAGCACATGGAGTGGCTCCAGCCCAGCTCTCCACTTAATATGACACGTTTGGGACAGATCACTGCAGGAATTTCCATTTTTGCACCAGTTCTAAAGCTCTGCTGGGGTGAGCCATAAATGTAGCTGATGTCACACATCCCTTGGCATCGCCGCCTTCCCAGTGGTTTTAGGGTTTTTTGGTGGGAAGCACAAGCCCCTTCCCAGGGGCTGCCTGTGCCGAGGCCGAGGGCGATGCTGACCTGCCTGAGCTGCCATCATGAGGGCCGTGTTGCCGTCGTTGTCCTGCTGGTTGACGTTGATGTAGGGGCACTTCCGCAGCAGCGGCACGATGTCCACGAAGCCCTTGACGCAGGCCACCATCAGAGCGTTCTGGAGAGGGGACAGCCCTTGGCACAGGCACT